TTATGCCTAAATATTAAATTTTGTGAAATTTGGTGCGAAATTTATGAAGAAATTTAAAAAATTGTCTTGTTTCATTTTTTTTCAGTTTGCGCCAAGAAGAATTCACTTGGCGAACTTCTTAATTTATAGCGGCCTATCTTCCTTTCCTTCTTACTGCCTCCTTGTACGAAGTAAAAAGGAAGTATAGTAATCGCGAAAAGTTTCAGGCAGCATAATTCAACGAAAATATCCCATTTTGACCTCTTTCAAATGCAATTTAACGATGTATTTCCGTGATATATGTACGTAAGGGCAGAATAAAACAATCTTTTCCTCCAAAAAATTATAAAACTGCTTTAAAATGAATTCTGAAGAGAATTTTTCGTGCGTCTGTACGAATGTATGTACGTACGTGCATACGTACCTATCTCGCATAACTCAAAAACGAGTAGCCTCAGAGCGTTGAAATTTTATACATAGGACTGCTATAACATGTAGATGTGCACCTCGTATTTTGGTTGCAATCGGCCGCACCAAACGTATATAAATATATTTATATATATATCCACTCTGTTACCCGGCTTAGTGATCTCAGTTTCTTTACTCTTATATGTTTGTAAATTGTACATTTTTTGCTTTAAAAATGATTGAATTTTATTGTCCTTTTCTTCCGGTTAAGGTTTTTATGCCTTTCGTAATTCTGGAAGCAATATTTGTACAATTATCAACAATTTAAAAGCTGCTTAAGTGCGGTTAAGTTTTAAATAACATGGCGGACATATTTGTTTACATTTGAAACTGCAGAATAGTAGATTTGTTGCCAATCTAGAGAGGCTAAGCTTTGCAACAACAAAGATAACGCCTTCATTTATTATTTAAATCATGCTTAATAACGATTAGATAATTCTTTAAATGATATAAATTTTGTGCATTCTGAGTTATAATATGAACGAAATATAATACTGTTAAGTGAACCTAGGGCCAGAGTGTCGCTATGGTAACAAAGTGAATTTTAAAGAATGCATTTATTCTATTGTGGTTTATGCGGTGTCGGCGAAGTAGGTTTAATTCAATCTAATAAGTTTAAATGAAATGCAAGAAAAAAATGCGTATAATTTAATATTCCGTACAAGGAAGTCATGTGATATACACATCAGATTTTTTTTTTTTTTTTTTTTTTTTTTTTTTTTTTTTTTTTATATTGTACACGAGCGGAAAAAAGTCATCATTCATTATTTCAAATAATTTTGAAAAACTGTGTAAATCACATTTAGCGTTATTATCAAATATGCCAAATTTTAAAACTCGCCAATATGTAAATTCACGTATATCATAGGAAATTTGGTATAAAAAACTTTAATTTTTTGCAGGTATACTTAGAAATACATCTACTTTAAGTACTTAGAAATACATCTACTTCTTCATTGTAAAAATTTTATAGATTATAATTCAATTTTTTTTTTCGAATTTTGAAAATGTTTTAAAAATAAATCACAAAACATGGGTGAATTTTATTTAGAAGGAATCTAAATTTCAAATTCTGCAAGAAGGAATCATTTGAGTTTACTAAAAAAAAGATAGATTAATAAATATAAATCAAATTCAATTAACATTGTGGAGCTAAAATTTTGAGAGCTAATATTTTAAAAATCACTCGTGCGATTTTTACAAAACTTGGCAGTTTGGAAGAATTTGAGTCGTAGAATGGAAATATGGATAAAAATTGGCATGTCATTTCAGAAAAAGTCTGATATTGTGTCAAAATGCCTATATTGGAACAATGCTATATATAAATCTAATATATATTTTAAGTCGCGCTTACGAGACATGAGAAACGCAAGGTGAATTTCCTCAATCGGCCCAGTAGAACGGGAGATATAGAACTGTCTTTTTTATTTTCCCGCAGTGTACCTTAATTTCTGCTAAAAGCCAATCCTTTTAAGATGTACGTTAATAAAGCATCATTCTTCAGTGCTCTGCGAAATTAAGAAGAAAAATATCATGCTATAAATTTTTCGTGTCTTTACCTGATGTTTTGATACTCAGCGAAACCTGAAAACAAACTATTTTAAAAAAATATCTCCCCGTATAATCTCTAATACACCCGTATTTTTTCCCTTTTGTATATATATATATATATATATAAACATTCTGTACATTCCGAATATTTATAAACATTCCGTACCACGATGTGCGCGTAAGGAAAAATCGGTCCTCATGATTGGTTATGCCTTTTCATGAGATCATTTCGTCTATGCTTAGAAACACCTTTGGTATTGCTTGGACTCGAGAGTACATCTTTCATGCTTTTGTTTACATTTTGATAGAAGCGCCAAAGAGACTATTATTGTTATTGAAGTGCGTTGCATATGTGTTACCATGAGATTACATTTCTTAGGATACTGTAGTGTGGTGAATTTAATGCTAAAGCTGCAGAGTGTTTCCCTCCCCCTCCCCGGAGAATAAATATAATTTCTTCCAGTTTGCTAATTACGTAAATTTGTATTAATGTTGAAAACAAAGTTTCCAATAAATGAATTCTTGCTTTAAAACCTTTCATATTAAAGGTGTTGTCGTTATTATTTCATGTCCATTATATATCCATTCTATATAGGTGCAAATTCCGAAAGCATGAGATTAAACAATTTTTGGGAATAGTAAAAAACGTTTTAAAGAAAAATATCCACATTTACACATTTACTACCTATTAGAGCTATGTTGATGAAAAAGGCCTTTGCTTGAATGCTTATTAATAAATATTAAAAATGGATTAAAAATGAGCATTATCTGTTTTATCTCTACAATAAAGCGTAAAACAATCTGTGTTTTTTTTTTTTTTTTTTTTTTTTTTTTTTTTAAGGAGAATGCTTTCAACATGGAAATAGCAGGTGTAATTACAATGGAAATATTTCGCGTGATGGGTGTTGGTGTATTTAATTATGGCAAAGCACACGAGGGCTAGCTGCCTAAGGGGAGGGATGCCTTTCGTGGAGGACTTTCTAAGGGAAACTGGTTCGTATACACGTTACACATGGGGAAAACCACGAAAACGCCCTTGCAGCCAGCCCGTTCGCGGGATTGGAACCTCGGACCGAACTACCAGTGTTCAGCGACTTTACCGCTCGGCCGCTGGTGGGCTCGCGTGATGGGAAAGAAGCAGAATGTAATAAAGTTACAGTTTACGAGCTTGACAAACGTTGCGTCAAGATATCTTGTAGCCCACTGTATTTTGGTTTTTGTACTAAATTCATGAACTCAGATAGTTATATCACCTATGCACTTAAAATAGCTTCTTACAATAATAACATCTGTAAATGTATTTTTCCGAGAACCAAGAAGGTTATCTGCAGAAAGGTATCTGTAAAGGTTTTTCATCGCTTTACTGAAGGAAAACAAACAAAAATTTCCACGTGTCAGTGTCACTCGTACGTATCATTCACCGCAAACAATATAGAAATCCCGCCTAAACGTCATTACGCCAAGACGTTTCTTTCCAAGCAGAGAAGGAATGATGTCATCGGAAAATATATCCAATCACAAGGACAGCGTTTTTTTCTCTAAGCGCGCCGAACGGTACGGAATGTTTATATGCCACTGGTACATCAGCATTTTTTCTTGAACTATGACCATATTTGTTTTTCGATTTGAAAATTCGCCGCGTACACGTAATTTATCTTGCAAATGCGTATTTTCAACTATGTATGGCAGAGAAATATATTAGTTTGAAAATAAAACTTAGGCAAAATTCAACCTTAGACTGAAGATTCTTTTCTTCAAAATGATTTTAGAACCGATTTTCCTCTCTTTTCTTTTATTTCGTCTCCCCCCCTTTTTTATCCAACAGACCGGCACCTTTATGACAGTGCACTGTTATGAAGCGGTTCTGCTGTCAAGTTTCTGTCGTGCGGTAGAAATTTGTGAGGCTTGCTGTCAGTAGTCTTCAAGACAAGGTTTGCTCTTCCGTGACGTCACTGACTCACAATCTGCTCAAAATCAACTCCCTTAGTATCTTCGTTTCTCCCACTTCTGTACGTCAAGTGACTTTGTTGAACTTGAGCTTTGGAAAGAGCCTAATCTTGGTCCCCCCCCTTTTTTTTTTTTTTTTTTTTTTTTTTTTTTTTTTTTTTTTTTTTTTTTTCTGACCTTGCTTCAAACTGTATTTCGCTGAACTTAATTGTTCGAAGTTACTTCTCTAGGGGTTCCGCAAGTCAAACTAAAAGTTCCAAAGAATTTTTGAATACCATGTGGGCCGCAAAACCAACCATTTAAAATAATTAATTAAATAATATTTTATTGCTATTATTATTGTTACTTAAACTAATACGAGATTAATGTATTTTTATAAATAAAACTGTAATGAAATTATAATTTCGTTTCCCATTTCCACACAAATCGCACATGATATTGATGTATTTTCAATGATTTTTATAGCATATGTTTTTCTGCAGATAGTAATGATTCTATACAATGAATAAATAAAACTAAACTCAGTGGCACAACAGCCCTAATGGGCCACGGCCTGCAGTGCCTCGAAATCTGCTTTCTTGACCTTGGGCCCCGGAGTGCATCAGCTTGGGCATCAGCCCTGGACAAAGTGATCAGCTTGTCGCAGGAGCCCCGGTGTTTAGTCCCCACGCGAACTTGGTACTCATTTTATTGACCCACTCAAGGCATGAAAGGCTGATTTAACCTTGCCCAGGCTGGGGATCGAACCGCGGACCTGTGGTGCAGCTGCGCGACGCGTTAGCCACTTCGCCACCGGGCGGTCTAAAATGAATAAATAAATTTTAGCGTTCCCCAAGTTGATAAGCAGTTTCAGACCACAGCTTAGAGCGAAAAGCTGAATCATAAATTCCTTTCAGGGTGCTATTCAATCTACTAAGTGTAACTTGTAAGCTCTGACCTCTGACTTGAAAAGCATAAAAAAATCGTTATTCGGGAATGACTGAAATACAATTTCGCAATATTAGATGAAGTAGAATAGTTTGATTAATTTGTTTGTCTGCTCAAAATGCTTATATTATTTCCTATCTTTCTTTTCAGAAGGAGCATACTTCGTGTTGTCACGTGGAATGTTGTGGAAGAGGTGGTGCAACTGGCGACAACAACGAGCACCACGATCACCCGCCTGCAGCGGAAACCGAAATGCGTGAAAGGATGGCAACGGTGAGTCTGCTTAAACCATTTTTCTTTGTTAATCTATTGTATCCCAACTTACTAAGTATTAGTATCGCCCTTGTGTAACATATGTCAGAAATATGTAATGCTTATAGCCCCAGTATGGTACTGTTCAGACGGTGACGTAAATGTCAGAGAGGCATAGTCGCAAGGAATAAAATGCAAGAATTCCGTTCACACCTGCGACACAAGGTCTAAGCCGCACTCACTTAGAGAAGCTAAATTTGCTATTGCGTGGATGTGTCAACAGCTTTCCCGCTCTGTTTTCCCACTGAGGTTTCGATCTGATTGGTCGACATAAAGTTGAAAACTTTGAACTTTATGCCAAGAGCCAACACTTTCTTAAACAAAGGTGTTTAAGCAAGGAGGTTAGAATAGACCTCCTTGCTCTCTATTATAACCTCCTTGTGTTTAAGAGAGTGTTGCAAGAGCCTTAAACCAGATTTTGGAACGTAGCACAGACTGGTTTCTTGGCAACGCAGCTCAGCTTAAATCATTTATGCCCTTTATACCGTCGTCTGAACGCATGTCATTATAAAATATGTAATAAATATAAAATGTCGCCTTATCATTATAAAATAAACGCCCGAGGCGGTCATTTTGCGGCACAGAAAAGGTTCAAGTCAATACAGTTGCGGGATCCGGACGTTACCTGAATAGTCTACGAAATCCGCCCAGTCAAATATCTGCCATTCTATTCGATGACCTTTTGCTGTCTTTCTGCTAACTTCTTGATTCCGCGTTCGCATAGAATTTCTGGTCTTTTATCAGCGAAATTTCAACCAAATGTGATTTGAGTTCATTGTTATTTCTAAAAATTTTACCATTTAAGAAGTTTTGTAAACTTCGAAGGAAATGATAATCCGATGCTGCAAGGTCGGAGCTATATGAGACATGAAACATCACTTCCCAGCCAAGCTCTCCAGTAATTTCGTATGTGTTGCTAAAGTTGTGTGAGGCCTCGCAGGTGTCGTGGGGAAACACAATTCCTTTCAGATTTGCCAATTCTCCAGTTTCGTAAGTTGTTGGCTGTAAACATCTGAGTTGAACGTTTGATTGCTTGGAAGCAGCTCAAAATACGCAACATGTTTGCAATCGAACTAAATTTGCAGCATGATCTTATTCTGATGCAATGTAGCTTTAGATTTGATTTGTGCTGATTCATTACGATTCATGATTCATCGTGATCGATCTTTTTCGATTAATGTTATTGTAGATGATCCATTTTTCATCACTAGCGATAATTCATTTAAAAGAAGGGTCGATTGCATTATGTCTAAATGCGTTCCGCAAATATTGTTCCGTTGTGTTAAGTGAATTTCTTTCAATTCATGCAAAAAGAATATATGGAGCTCCTTAACGAGTCCAAGACATCTTATGTACTTTTCGGTTGTTATGTGTGATACATTTAACTTTCTGCAATCTCTCGCACAGTTATATGACAATTGGATTCAATTACGGCTTTAATTTTGTGATCAGAAGTTTCAGAAGGTCGGCCAGAATGTTCGTCATGTTCGAGTAGACAATTTCCAGAACGAAATTTTTAAATCAATTCTGACACATTCTTTCTGTTAAGCAATCAACATCATAAACTTCATATATCTCTTTGTGAGAGGCAGCCGTTTTCTTGCATTTAAAAAAAAAAAAAAAAAAAAAGTTTTTAGATTTTTATATTACGCCCAAAAGGACCTTTTTTTTTAAAGTTTTGTGTGTTACCTTTATTTATTAAATATCATGTTCTTCGCACTTAAACCATTCAACAGCGATATCGCAAAATATTTAAAAAGAGCATGTCTTTAGAATTTCCGATACACACGCTTGCGCGCCGGAGATAATTCTTTTTCGTAAAGTGTTGCTATTGTTTGCTTTGAAATCCTTAAGTTAGTTAATAAAAAATTCGTTTAAGGTTTACAAAATATGAAATAGATGATAAAACAAATTCCAAATTTGGGCTTTCAGATGGCCCATATTCGATTGGAGGACTACGGTATTCAAAATTTGATGTCTGTAGATACCGTTGTTTTTTTCCCAATGCGAGAAAAACATACATACATTCATGCAAATTCTTCGTTATTTAAATTCTTTTAATATAATGCAGGGCTGTAATATTTGGTGGCAACAATTTGAAAAGCGAAAAGCCCTTTTATAGTGGACGACGCAGAATGCCAAAATGAAATTAATAGCCCTTCTGGGCGAATTGCAACTTTGGGCTAAAAATATGTCGGAAAGTAAAATATATGTCTAAAATGTTTATTTTTGCAACCCATTTTAAGACTGACCGTAAACTAACAATTGTAAACAAAAATGCCAACCTAAAAGTTTTAAATGTCATATATATATATATAAGATTGATGGAAGCATAACAAAACGAATATAACGCTTTATATTTGTGCAGATCGAAATTACTTGCTAATCCAATAGAATATTTAATTTTAGTATGTAAATAAAATAAAATAAGGAAATTTGTAATTTGGAAACATCAGATGATAGTCACTCCTCGATAAACCGTTATTAAAACAGATGTTAAAAGATCTAAATTCTGAAAAAATACTTGTTAAAAATCTCGGTGCTTAATTGTGCGTTTTTTTTTTTTTTTTTTTTTTTTTTTTTTTTTTTTTTTTGAACGTAACGTGATATAGAGAAAAAATATCGAAATATTAAAACGGGTATATTATGCTTCAACGACTTTATTAAAAATAATAACTGATGAAAATTTTTGCAATCTGAAAATTTCAAATTACTGCCTAAGATACTTAAACAGATATTTTACTTCTGTTCTTAATAAAAGTAATATCTACTTCTGTCAGTTCCTGAAAATATATCCTTATTGTAGAATAAAATTAGAACTCAGCTCAAAATTAGTTTCAGTTTTAAAAGTTCCATTTTTTCCTGCATTTTTTACTTCCTTGTACGAAGTAAAAAGGAAGTATTGTAATCGCGAAAAGTTTCAGGCAGCATATTTCAACGAAAATATCCATTTTGTCCGCTATTCGAATGCAATTTAACGATGTTTCTGTGTGATATCTGTACGTAGGGCAGAATAAAAGACTCGTTTCCTCCAAAAAAATTATAAAACTGCTTTAAAATCAATTCTGAAGAGAATTTTTCGTGGCGTCTGTACGAACGTATGTGCGTACGTACGTATCTCGCATAACTCAAAAAAGTAGCCTCAGAACGTTGAAATTTTGTATATAGCACTGCTATAACATTGTAACATGTAGATGCGCACCTCGTATTTTGGTTGCAATCGGCCGCACCAAACGTATATAAATATATTTATATATATATATGTGGGTTCTTTAGTTTCAAAATCACAATTCATGTTCAAACAAAGCACACTTAATGAAACATTAATACAAATATAAGATCGTTCATTTATTAATACAGAATCTATACCATCTTACATCTATTAATACAAGATCTATATCATCTTACATCTATAAAACAACATCTTACATCTCTTCTAATAAAACAAAGTGGCGAGAGTTCTATCAATTTCACTCGTGCTAACAGCTAAAATTTAAATAGCGCGCGAGGAAAAATATTAAGCTGTGGATTTAAAATCCCACATATATATTTATATATATATCCACTCTGCTACCCGGCTCAGTGATCTCAGTTTCTTTACTCTTATATGTTTGTAAATTGTACATTTTTTGCTTTAAAAATGATTGAATTATGTTGTTTTTATCTTCCGGTTAAGGATTTTATGCCTTTAGTAAATCTGTATGCAATATTTTTAGAATTATCAACAATTTTAAAGTTGTTTAAGTGCCGCTAAGCCTTTTTTTGATGGCGGCCATTGATTGTTTACATTTGAAACAGCAGACAAGTGGATTTGTTGCCAATCTAGAGAAACTTAGCTTCGCAAAAACAAAGATAACGCCCTCATTTATTATTGCCAATTAAATCATGCTTAATCCTTTCTGGAATTTTTTCGAGGAAATAAGTGTTTAAGATTTATTTCGTAACTTTAATATAGATATTTTGATTTTTTATGCATTTTTGCCTTCTCGCGAAGTGAGAACTGAATTAATTGAATGAGAAATACTCAATCGTCTGTGAATATTGTTCTTTTTTTTTTTTTTTTTTTTTTTTTTTGTTTTTTTTTTTGTTTTGCTTAATTTCTTTTATACATCATTCTAGCTTTATTGTAGTATTTGAATAGAACATGTTGCAACTATTAGATAATTCTATTCTTTAAATGATATAAATTTTGTGCATTATGAGTTATAATATGAACGAAATATAATACTAGCGCCAAATTGTCGCTATAGTAAACAAATACTAGAGTGAATTTTATAGAATGCATTTATTCTATTGTGGTTTATGTGCTGTCGGCGAAGTAGATGTAATTCAATCCGATAAGTTTAAATGAAATGCAAGAAAAAATGCGTATAATTTAATATTCCGTACAAGGAAGTCATGTGTACACATCAGACTTTTTTTAATACAAAATAATATAAAAAGACAAACTGTATAAAATTAAAAACTGAAATATATAGAGAAACTTGAAAAATTATGAGTTTCTACAAATAAGCTTATCGTATCAATCGACTTTAGTTAGAGTGATGATGATTCGTTTGATGCTGAGAAATAAATTCAGAAATTTTGCAATCGATTAATTATAGGATGTTACTAAAAACTTATTTTATTCATGATACTCATATTGCAAAACAAAAGTGCTGGCAAAATATTTTTAAAAAAGGCAGATAAAAGATTGTTATTTAATGATCAACATAACTCTGTTTCACAACATTGAGTATGAAGAAAGATTTTATGCATCATCGTTTTGCAGCAACGTTAGATTATCGCGAACAACGTTTATTGCAAACTTGAAAACAATAAGCACTTCGAAGATCTTGTCTTCGAGATATTTAAAAATACAGAAAGAGGTTTGCAACATATTGGGTCATATAAAATGTCTCTGCATTTTTTTTGCCACTAGATCGTGTTGATGCCTATATATCCGGCAACAATCACCCGATTGTCTCAAACGAACATGCGCTTAAAAGGTGACATTCAGCTTCCATTATCTGTGAAAACAGTTTTCTAATTCGTTGCTTGTGTAAAAAGTTATATTGATTTGAAAAAGAATGAAATATCTGAAGAAATATATTATGTGTTGCTTTTTCACTATAAAAAAAAGGTGAAGTGTATGGTGAGAAGGCTGTGAGTGAACGAAGGACCTAGGAGTGGTTTGCACGATTCCTTTCCGGAAATTTGAATATCGAAGATGCACCTCGCACTGGTCGGCCAGTCACAGAAAAAGTCGATGGAATTTTGCATCTGGTGGAGAAAGACCACGCAAGCTGTCAGGAAATATCAGAGGCACTAAACATCAACCACATGACAGTTTGGAATCATTTGAAAAGAGCAGGTTACAAAAAGAAGCTCAATGTTTGAGTGCCACATAAATTGCAACCTGGCGAGACCATCAATTCGGTCCTGTACTGTGCACAACTCGACCGTTTGAACGAAGCAATACACAAAGGGAGTTGTGTTCCATCATGACAATGCGCGGCCACACAACTTTGATGACTTGGAACAAATTAGCGGAACTTGGTTGGGAAGTTTTGATACGTCCACCATATAGCCTGATCCTTGCACCGTCTGACTACCATTTTCTTCAATCTCTGCAAAACTCTCTTGATGGTAAAAAGTTGGCCGATTTATGAGCTTTTGATTAAGAAACTCAAAGATTTCAAAGCGAGCAATGACAACACTGTGTACGGTGAAAAAAAAAAACATTTTGAATTCAATTATATGGTTTAAGTGAGAAGAACATGGTATTTAATAAATAAAGGTAACACACAAAACGTTAAAAAAAGGCCTCCTTGGACGTAATTTAAAATCTAAAACCTTTCAGATTTTAATTTTTTAGTTTGTTGCTTGTATAGAAGAGGGATAGCAAAATAAACGACCGCCCAGGGCGGTTGCTCTAGCTATGCCACTGGTTGTACCTTCCGGGCCAATGTTTTTCAAAAAAATTTTTTTTTTTTTTTTTTTTTTTTTTTTGTTTAAATGTTCTTATTAATGTTTTCACGCAGTATTTTAAAAAGGAATATTAACGAATGTAAAATGTACAGTTTATGAGGTTTATTTTAAAATATTGCTTTCTGTTGTACTATTTATGCTAATATGCGATATTCCTATGTTTAAAAGAAATATTACCGAAACCGAAGAAAACATTTTATGATGATGATGTCTTTCAAATGCTTTTATTGCACTCTTTCCTTTAAATTTTCATGAAGCAATCCCATCATTAAAAAGACGTAGTATAACGTTACTTGAAGGAAAGGAAACAGTCTGTTGATTTTCATCCGTGTTCTCATACTGACTTATCCTAACACGAAACTTAGCAAGAAAGGGGGGGGAATCCAGAGCAAAACTCTGAAATTACTTTTTTATATTACTCCCAAAATATTTATAATTCTCCCAAAGGGGCGTTTTTTTAACGTTTGGTGGGTTCCCTTTATTTATTAAATATCATGCTCTTCCCACTTAAGCTACATAAAATTCAACAGCAATATCACAAAATATTTAAAAGCAGCATATCTTTAGAGTTTCCGATAGAGAGTCTCACGTGCTGGAGATAAAAACTTTTTTTCTTTTTTTTTTTTTTTTTTTTTTTTTTTCGTACAGTGTTGCCATTGCTCGCTTTGAAATCGTTGAGCTAGTTAATCAGAAATTCGTTAAAATTTTACAAAATATGAAAAAGCTAATAAAACAAATTCAAAATTCGAGCTTCCAGGTGCCCTTGTGCTGGTGGAGGACTCGTAATTCAGAATTTGCTGTCTCTAGGCACCGCCTTTTTTTCACAGTGCGAGAAACATAAATTCATTCATGCAGATTCTTCATTATTTAATTTCTTAAATATAATACAGGGTGATATTATTTGGTGGCAACAATTTAAAAAGTGATTCCCTTTTATAGAGAAACGCCACAAAATGCCGTTTTGAAACTAATATCCGTTATGGGCTACCGACCCTTTGGGCTTATTATTATTTTTCCTTCTTTGCCCCTCCTTATTTTCATGCACATCAATCATGATTTCAGATCTCTGTACACAGTACATTTCTGATATAATATAGGATATGAAACTTCAGTTCTTTGACATTAATGATGTTTTAAGACATTGTTTTCCATCAAAATGACTAGTGTAGTGTATTTCTAATAATTCTCATGTTGTTTCAAAATAATTTAAATTGCTTGTAATGAATAACTAAAAGATACCGTGCTGCAGTATTCTTGAATTCCCTTCTAAAAGAACATTTAATAGTGTATACATAAGCGTATATCTTTGTTGAACCCCATGTATTTTTCCAAAATTCTTGTTGATTCCAATTCTAACTAAAATAACCATTAGCGTATTACATATTTACGTAAATGAGTATCTACACAGAACCTGTGTATTTTTGTAAAATTCTCGTTAATTCCAATTCTAACTAAAATTATCGAAGGGTATTACAAATGCATAAGTGTACATTTATGCAAAACCCCGTGTATTTTTCCGAAATTCTTCTTAATTCCAGTTCTAACTGAAATAATTATTAGCGAATTACAGATTTTCGTAAATGAGTATCTACACAGAATCTGTGTATTTATCTAAAATTGTCATTAATTCTAACTAAAATTTTCGAAGGGTGTTACAGATGCATAAATGCACTATACAGAATCCCGTGTATTTTTCTGAAATTCTCGTTGATTCCAATTCTAACTAAAATTCCCATTAGTGTATTACAGATTTACGTAGTGCATTAATATCTACGCAGAAGCTGTGCACTTTCCGAAAATTCTCGTTAATTTCAGTTTTAACTAAAATAATAACCATTAGCGTATTACAGATTTACGTTAAGTCAGTATCTACGCAGAATCTGCGGATTTTTCTAAAATTCTTGTCAATTCCAATTCTAACTAAAATTATCGAAGGGTGTTACAGATGCATAAATGTACTGTCCGCAGAACCCCGTATATTTTCCCGAAATTTTCGTTAATTCCAGTTCTAACTAAGATAACGATTAGCGTTACAAATTTACGTAAATGAGTATCTACACAGAATTTGTTTATTTTTCTAAAATTCTCCTTAATTCCAATTCTAACTAAAATTATCGAAGGATGTTACAGATGCACAAATGTACAGTTATGCAGAAACCAGTGTATTTTTCTGAAATTCTCGTTACCTCCAATTCTAACTAAAATAACAATTAGCGTATTAGAGATTTTTCGGAAATGAGTATGTACACAGAATCTGTGAATTTTTCTTAAAATTCTCTTTAATTCCAATTCTAACTAAAGGGTGTTACCAGATGCATAAATGTATTGTATGTGGAACCCCGTGTATTTTTCCGAAATTCTCATTAATTCCAGTTCTAACTAAAATAACCATTAGCGTATATTACAGATTTACGTAAATGAGCATCTATACAGAATCTGTGTATTTTCCTTAAAATTCCTAGTAATTCCAATTCTAACTAAAATTATCGAAGAGTATTAGAGGTGCATAAATATACTCTATGTAGAACCCCGTGTATTTTTCCGAAATTCTCGTTAATTCCGATTCTAACTAAAATAATCATTAGCGTTACAGATTTACGTAAATGAGTATCTAAAATTCTCGTTAATTCCAATTCTAACTAAAATTATCGGAGGTTGTTAGAGATGCATAAATGTATTGTAATGGAGAACCCCGTGTATTTTTCCGGAATTCTCGTTAATTCCAATTCTAACTAAAATAATCATTAGCGTATTACAGATTTACGTAAATGAGTATCTACGCACTTTCTAAAATTCTCGTTAATTCCAATTGTATTCAAAATTAGCGATGGGTATTACAGATGCATGAATGTATATCTAGGCAAAACACTCGCGTATTTTTCTGAAATTTTTATTAACTTCGTTTCTAATTAAAATTCTCGTTAGCATATTACAGATTTACGTTAACTGGAAAATGTGTTCTGTCCCCTGCATTTCGATTGTACTTTCGCAAAATTCAAATATCTACGAAAAATAGCGTATTTGTGAGTTATCAGAAATGGTTAAATTGCCTGCTAAAATGAATTTTTTAAAGGTGTTTTCCAAAAATTCTTCTTCCCCTACCTGTAATTTTCAAATGGTTATTGAATTGCTGGTTAAAAAACTATTTTAGTAAATAACAAATAATTTTATATATTTCTTTTTAGGAGAAAAAATTGAGTTCTGGTTCTCTTGGTGGCGCTGAGGGTGCTCGACCCAAACACGTGACTGTGCATCCTCCAGGGACAAAAACTGCAAAGCCAACTGTTAAGAAAAAGTCCATTCAAGCAGACTTGGTAAGTCCATATTGCATATTATTATAGTAGTAAGCTCGACAGGGCATAGAACACTATTGTGACATTTCCTATAAATAAGTTTTTGTAGAATTTTGAATTATTATGTCACGAAAACTCCAATGTTGCGATTTATGCAGGATTATTGCTTGTTAAGTTCCGGCCTATACTAAAATAAAATAATACGTATAACGCAGTAAAAACTGCTCATAGGAAATTTTTCCTTCTCAGCTCGTATTAAAGTCTTGCTACTAAGAAATTAAGATCTTCCGCTTATTATCAAATATACCTTTTGTTCAGTGAAGCAAAACTTTTAACTCCTTTTAATTGCAGTTTTTTTTTTTTTTTTTTTTTTTTTTTTTTTTTTTTTTTTTTCCGGCTAGAATTTTGGCACATGAAGCCTGGTTTTTAGTTCTGTGTTGATTTCAACAGGCCTTTCTTTAAAATGATAAACATGCGATTTTTCTTTTCAATTTGATAGCTTAAAAGAACTCGCGTTTATTAATTTTCTTAATGTTAAGAATTTACGTTAACTGGAAAATGTGTTCTGTTTAAATACACAGTTTAAGTAATTAAAAATGTTTAAAATGTTGCAATGAATGAATAGGCTATATCAGGCGTCAGCAACTTTTTTTTTTCTTTTTTTTTTTTTTCTTGTGTGTGTGTGTGTGTGTGTTTGCGGGTCAGAATTAACCAAAATGTGTCTATTAAGAAGACGTTTAGGGTCAGTGGTATTTTCGTTTTAAAACAGTCGTTTTTCATGAATAATAAAGTTAATTTTTTGGAAAAAAAAAATCTGAAGGCTTTTAGATTTTATATTACGCCTAAAGGACTGTTTTTTTTTAACATTTTGCATGTTAACTTTATTCATTAAATATCATGTTCATCGCACTTAGAAAAATTCTTAGAAACCGCTTCAGCTATATTAATGATAGTAAAAATAAAACAGTATGTAGTGAATTTCCCCCCCCCCCAAAAAAAAACGCCTGGTATATTGCGTTGCAGTCGCAAATACCTACTAAAAATATTGGTTTGATAGAAGGTTAAAAAAAATCGGTGTAATTTAAATTTGATTTCAAGATTTGAATCAAGAAAATAAACATCAATTTAAATAAAACCATATAAAAATTAAAAATCATCATTCCCACAAATCGAATATGCTTTTGTTTCTTAACAATTTGTTTTCCTCAACTAGATTTAATACATTTTGCTCAAGAACTGAAAATCGATGTAAATGTATTCAATTAACAGTTCCAGTTATAAAACTGTTAACTGAATACATTTTTACTATTATTACAGTTCTGTAATATGCTTCTAACTTTCTTCATTGCGGATACCAATACAATCATTTATGTATATGGTTTTTATTGTGTTCAGAAAGCTCTAAAGTTACAGTAAACAACGAAATTTTCATTTATTTCTAAATAAGCATTTAAATGTCTATTATAATGTTAAAACTTTAATGTTCTCCATTATGTGGTAAACTGTTTTTCAGGATGTGCCGAGAGAGCTAGGAAAATGTAAAGAAGAAGGTGCCGAGAGACTGGATCTCAGCAAATCGAATGTGAGACTTGTTTTTTAAGTATAAATATATTTACTCATATAATGAAGTGCTCATTATTAACATAGTTTTGTAACCTAAAAGTAGAATGTATAAAATAAACAAAAGAAGAATAATGACATGCTCTTGCACTAAGAAGAATAATTTCGAGATCGTCAAACCTGCGGTCCCCTTAAATCCTCTTGAGACCGGGTTGGGAATACGGGTTAATACAGCAGCGTGTTTTGTCAGCATTGCAATAAGCATACGAATTATTTGAATCAGTCTGACAGTTCTCAGTCAGAAACTGTGGCTAAGTCTAAGCAAAGAAGAAACTCTCTTAGAACTGTTTCGGATGTAAAATTTTAAATTCTCTCTAGGAAACTAGATGTAGTTATTTTTTCGAAACCATTGAAACGTATTGAAAGATGAAAAAGATCCTCTTAGCAGGACGGTCTGTAATAAGTATGAACAAACCCCTGCCCTAAAAAAAAAAAAAAAAAAAAAAAAAAAAAAAAAAAAAAAAAAAAAAAGAGTAACAAATGCAGCTGCCATCTTACACAAAAAAAATGATTTGAAATTCGCAGGAAAAACTAAGCACGCGCCGTTAGCCGGATGTGGAACACCTTTTTTTCTCAGTAACAAGTAGGAGCTTTCTTCCAGCAAAGAGAGCTTCTCGTCCCGAAATGCATTTAATTAATTTAAGCGTTTCATTTTATGTGCATTCTTGAGACTGCTATAGTCTTATTTTAGATCACACAACTGCCAGTCACAGTTCGTGACTTGACTCACTTGATGGAGTTCTACCTGTATGGAAATAAGCTGTCCACCCTTCCAGCGGAAATTGGATGTTTGGTAAATCTCAAGACGCTGGCTCTGAGCGAGAATTCCCTAACAAGCCTGCCGGACTCTTTGTCGAACCTCAAACAGCTCAAAGTGCTGGATCTCAGACACAATAAATTAAATGAGGTTAGTACTTTGGAGATTTTGGATCATCTTACAAGAGTTGTCGTAGCTGTATTTGTGACATTTTTATGTATGTCAAAACTGGTTATAGCTCTGACAAAAGTGAATTTCCTTTCAGATCCCGGATGTCGTTTATGAATTGACGTCCCTTACCACATTGTATCTGAGGTTTAATCGAATCAAAGAAGTGGGCGAAGAGATTGCCAACCTCAAAGTAAGGTTTTCCTTTGTTTTGATTTGGATTGTTTATGGCTGCGGTTATTTGTACTGCAGCTCTTGTAATTTATGAGAGTTAATATGTAATCCATCAAAGTAGTAAGCAATCTGAAGACCAAAAGTTTCTTAGGCTTTGTAAATACTTGATAATTTGTATTTTAATTAAAAGTTATTTTAAATGTCTTTTTGTGTAGTTCTCCGATTTGTGTGTTAAGCTTTAAATTTATACATGTTATTGTTATTGAATAAAAATGAATCCAAATTAGAAATACGCCTTTCAAGGGAAAACTCACGAACGACGTATAATTGAGAAAGACATGTCCACAAATTTCTGCTGTTTCTTTAACTTTTTTCTGTCATAAACAACCGCTTTTAGTGCTGTCACAGGTATATTCAGTTGCTTTGATAACTCAGTTTTCGTCAAATCAGTATTCTCAGTAAATCCTTTTAAGATTTTAATTTTATCTCTTAACAAGAGTGACTTTCTCTTTTGTGATATTTTGTATCAGTTAATTCTGCTTTACCTAGCTTACTTAACACAGTTTCTTTTCCAAGTATTACCCTATTCATCGACTAGTTTTCAATTTCTGTACCAGACTGTGGTGTCTCATGTTTTTAACTTCTCCTGTCCCTATTTCTGAGAAAAATACTTGAACGGTGGAACTGCGAAATGTAAAACCAATGCCGTAAATGAAGCAAAATCGACCTATAAAAGAAATAGTTTACTCTTAAAATAAATATGACTGAATGGGGACCAAGATGACATGACGTATAAATGTAAAACACGTATAAACGATAAACGTATAAATGGTGCTCCACTGTATTTCAGAATATACAATGAGGCAAAACACCAACCTCTTGCTTGGCGTAGACTTTAACCAAGACTGTCGATTTCGAAAGCGAACAGGTGCAGCCGTATTTATACCCGTAAGTACGGCCGGCTGTGGTTCCTCTCTTCATTGTAGAATTTCTTTGTTCCTTCAGGTACTTATAAGCCTGTTTTAAGCCCTGCCAATGATTTTAAATCATTCACATATGTCTCCTATGAGCCATATGTCTCCATTCCCATATGTCTCCTATGAGCTGTTTTTGTAGGAAAGAGCAACAGCGGTGAAGTTAGCGTGCGGCTAAAGAATAAAGTATTCTGTTTTGAGTGTCCAGTTGTCAACTGAAAAAGGCAAGAAGAGGGTAATGCATGTGCTATTCCTTTATTAAAATTGTGCTGTCTTTTTCACGGTTCTGAATAATTTCATAACTGTCCTGTGCAAATATATATAATACATCGTTACAATGCTCTTGCAAACACACTGATGCATATGACATGAAAATTAATACGAGTATATGCGGCAAATAACTAATGTTTTAACAGACACAATAATACTGGTACAATATGATAGATACAATTTACCAAATGAATACTGTTAGAAAAATGTGTATATTTCTAAGATGTCAATACATTGGTGCAGGAGTACAAGTACATGTATATAAAGATAGGACGTGGTTGTAATATTAAAGCAATGCTGAGTTACAATACCTGAGTTCAATGCTTATGCATTGGCGTTACAATACTGTTGAATATATAATAGTGTTGTTATGCAGAATTTATTGTGCATATAGAACGTAGACGAAACTTGTAAAGATATCTATTAACCTCTTTGTCTTGAAAAACATGGATATTGCGTATTGCATGCTTTTTACCTTTTGATTTTTTAAGCTACATTAAACAGCGTCGAACAAATTTTTTGTTCGCATCGTCAGAAAAAGCTGTGGATAACAACCCGCCTTTCAAACTAGTTCTGGGGGAACGCACTTCTAGGAAAAGTTGTCTATTGTTTTCCTTGCTCGTAGAGGTGATACAGGGCTAAAAAGAAAAAGCCCTGAGTATGATATGGGTTTAAAGTACCTCCAAAGGAAGAACACGGCATTAGGTAAGGAGACTTGAGAAATGCCATGCGAAAATAGCTAAGTCATTCTCACCAGAATTCTAAGTTCGCATCTTGTAATGATTGTCAATGGTTGTGGCCTGAGCTTGAAACTCTGTTTCGTTCCATCAGGCGCTTGGCTGTCTTCATGCTTTCCATTTGCGCAAAAATTCGGCATCGTTAAATTGACGATACCACCGCAAACTTCTCTACTAATTTTCCTGTTCTTTCGGTGTTCTCCGAGTTCACCATAGCAACTTCCTTATTGAATATCTAACAGATTGTTACAAATTTTGTAAATGTGTGTATCGCTTGTATAATGAAGCATGGAGAGCTTCAAGAGTGGGAAGTCTCGCTGGAAAGACAGGATTACAGGGGTAAGTCCATTTAACATAGATGTAAATGGCTATGTCGTCAAATCGACGAGATAGTTTCAAGTTGGTATAGTTTAGCCGACTCCTCGAATTTGGCATGAATTCGCCAAAAGTCGCCAAATTCTGTTTGGTCCGATCTCTGTGTAACATACAGGGCCTTTCCCACTGGAGCTAACTGAGCTAACGGAGACAACTGACGTAGCCGACCCATCTCCAAAACTAGTTTTTTCCCATAGGTCAGCAAGTTGAAAAATCTGAACTGCACGCATAGCGGAGCTAGTCGACATATGGAACTGACTCAGATAAATCCCACTGGGAACGGTTCTTATCTGGTCCGCTCACTATGTAATTATACTGTATCCGGTTCTGTGTAACTGTAAGTGTAATTGTAACTGTGTATGCCTTCCACCAATTTCCAGAAATCGAAGGTAATGGAAATTTCTCGGTGGAGGGAGGGAAACTATATATGACCGGAGAGAGCATCATTTTTCAGTTGAGTTCAAAGTTTAGCTCAGAGTACTGAGAGTATTGAAAGATCACTCTGCCAGCTTACGCATTTGAGGTTCTTTGTATTGCTGTATCTTCTCAGCAGTTTGAAGTGGTAACTACGGATTGTGCTCTATCATACTGAGAAGAGCTGTGTGAGTACTTTTATGTGAACAAAAGAAGTTCCAAAACTGTATTTTGTTTTTGAAAAAATAAGTTTTATCAAGGCTATCATGGGTTCTGTGAGCATTCAATGTATTACGAACCCGTTCGCACTTAATAATATTTTAACACACTCGCACACGTACACGAAACTCTTTTCCTGCATTGTCGCTTTTCTGGAAAAGCAGTGCACACGTTCTGCTACCTTGTGCTTTAAGCGGAAACTTGATGGATAGCGACTTTCCAATTCTTTTTGTTTATTAATCATTATTGTATGTGCATTTTTCAAAATTACTGAAGTGTGAAAGGTGTCCGACGAAAACGTCGCTGGTAAAAAGCAACGCAAGGCGAAAACATCATGGCACAAAATATCATGGCAGAAGCAAGATAAAATATCTCAGTTCTACAGCATCGTGGTAGAAAATAAAATGATGCAAAACCTTCGCAGTTTTAAAACATCATGGTACAAAATATCGTGATAAAAAATAAAGCACCGACAAATCATTGCATGATCATAACATGCTAGACATGCGTTTTCTGAATAAAACTTTTTGAATTGTTGAAAATGATTTTCGAGCACAAGAAGACGTAAGCAATGTTTTTACCTCTGTATTTCATATTTTTGTATTAGATAACAAAATTTTGCTGAAAAAACAGAAATTAAGCCTTCTAAATCTGAAAATCAGTAAGATTGATATTTTGTTGGTTATTCTGGCATGCAGAGGGAGATGCACTGCTCCTGCTCATCCCAGATTCCTGAATGAGTCCTCTTAGGGTGCTGAAGCTTCTCCAGTTGAGGTAGCCTTGTAAAGGAGAAAGAGAAGTGAAGCCGATATCTTAATGAGGGTTGCATACTTCGTGAGTTTCCAAATCAGACTCTACACGATGACTATTCGCCAAGATGAACTGGTTTTCCGACGTCTTCATGATGATCGCGGTCTTCATGATATAAGCTGAACTTCGAAAGGGTACTATGCACCTTTGTTTGCTTATGTCGGAGTTCCTTTGTGCCTTCGCGAACAATGGGTAAAAATCCATGTTTGGGGTAGCTGCAGAAGGACAGGGAGGTGAGGAAAGCTGGCCGGAAACGCGTGAAGAGGTTTGTAGAATCCGAAACGTGGTGAGCTTGCAAACTATACTATACAATACGAAAAACAATACATGTAAGCAGAAATATTAAAATAACATCTGTTCTCACAGAACAGCTATTAATTGGAAGTGATTGCTTCTTGAGTAAATTACAGAAAGAAATAATATGGGATATTTTATGTACAGCAACAAAATCTTAAAACTGCTCTTTTAAGAGCAAAACAAGCCTCTGGTAGCCAGGAGTAGCGTTGTAGCTAAGTCCGAATGTTCACAGCACTAGAAACGCAAACATTGTACTTTGCGGTGAAAATATTGTCACAAATAGGGAAAATGACCCCTAAAATCGTTTGCAAAAATGGGGACGGCATATATAAACGTACAGTAGATTTTGTACGACATTGTTCGAAAACTGCGAGGTTTTTGCACCGCTTTACTTTCTACCAACTGCTATGTTTTCTCCTCAAAGTCTTTTATCCCGCGATGTTTCTGATACGATGTTTTGCCTTTGTACTGTGTTTTATCCGCAATGATTTCACATGTAACAGTTTGAAGTCGTATGAATCATTTGCAATAGCTTTATATTTAATACTGATGTTGAATTAACAGAAATTTTAACTGAGTACTTTTCCGTCTACTTATACGGAATACCGTTCGGAGGCAAAAGATTGGAGCTTAGTGAATGCAGAAGTATGTCTCACACTTGTATTTTCTTTTGCAGAATCTGACTATGTTGAGCTTACGTGAGAACAAAATCCGCGAACTGCCAAGAGGTATAGGCAAACTGCGTAATCTAGTCACATTTGATGCCTCCAATAATCATTTAAAGCACCTGCCGCCTGGTAAGCCTATTTCTTATTAAGTTCCTAGCTCTGGAGGGGGCGCACGTTTAATTTTCTAGCTCTCTTCACACTCATTTGTGTAATGACTATTGCTATCTAAATTTAATTCAATGATGAAAAAAAAAACTATTCCTGTAAAATTAGATTTGCTTCTGTCTCATTTTTATAAATTATCGAAAATAAAAATATAAAAAAAGTAGCAATTTTGTGGAAACAATATTATCGCGTGATACTTTTCTCGCTTTGAAAGTCAAACTCATATTTATCATAACGATCATGTTATATGCTTAACAGCCATTAGCATGAAAAATACTTTCATATGTTGTAGTACTTCATATTAGCATTTTAATCAGTATTTTGGTAGCATAAAATTAGTTTTTGATTTTAAAGGTAAAAAGTTTCAAATCATATTTGCTACTTTCAGAATAACACCATTATTAATTTTGTATCTTATAAATATGTATCAGTTATTTAAGGGAAAACTTTTAAAAATAATTTACGCAGTTTTTTTTAACACTTCGGAGGTTTCTTATTGTTTCATGCTTAGCAGTTTTTTTAACACTTTGAAGAGTTCTGATTATTTCATGCTTTAGATAGGTTCCACTCTGTTACAGATAAAGATCAGAAGTTGTTGCCAGTCGATGTGGTCTAAGACTTTTCATTTGTCTTCCTATTATAGCAAGTTACTCATCAAAGTAAAGTGAATTCTTAAAATATATGTATATTTTTTATTTCCAATGACTAGGCAAAAAATTACAAAGAACTAAAATCCTATAAACAGAGGTTACAAACAAAGAACAAAAAAACTGAAGGCATTGTCTAAGAAGCGGTCTTGCCTCCCAGTATCTCGACTCTTCTGTAAGACAACGAAGGGCCGTCACATCGAAGCAGGTGGTCCTTGTGTCACAAAAGTGGGCAAATAGGATGGCTTGAAATGCCTATGCGGTGCAGGTGGACGGAGAGGCTATCGTGTTTCGTAGACAGACGGAAAGCCGCAACTGCATTACGTCTTGAACTATCGGTAGTAAGAAAAAGACTTGATCATTCTTCAACTTTTTAGGCTGGAGTTAATCAATCAATGTAACTTATGCCGGGATGTCGCTGTGAGCACGTGATGTATCCGGCTCAATGATACTTATGCCGCGAGGGCACGTGATTGTGTACATTCAAGACATGGTAGGAGGAATTTCGCACTTAGGAAAAGGAGAGAATAACTCGCTGTTACGGGCGGCAGAACTTAGTTTCCAGTTCATTAGCAATTCTACGCGGTGAGTATTCGACAAGATAAACAGACGATTCCTCATCGTGATGAAGGTGCATTCTTCATGAGTTCATAGATCAACAGCAATTCAACATGATAACTATTCGCCAAGATAATCTTTATGAATCTTTATGAATGTTTCATTTTTCGTGAATTTCCAAATTAATAGCAAATCCACACGGTGACTAATCGCCAAGAAGAACAGGTATCACGACATCTTGATGAAGGTTGCATTCTTCGTGAGTTTCCAGATCAATAGCAACCCTATACGTGACTGTTCGACAAGAGAAACAGGCGACACATCTTAATGAGGGTTGCATACTTCGTGAGTTTCCAAATCAGACTCTACACGATGACTATTCGCCAAGTTTCCGACGTCTGGTTTTCCGACGTCTTCATGAAGATCGCGGTCTTCATGATAAGCTAAACTTCGAAAGGGTACTATGTACCTTTATTTGTTTATGTCGGAGTTCCTTTGTGCCTTCCCGAATCGCGAACAATGGGTAAAAATCTTTCCGGTACCTTTTTACAAAGTGACGGCGCCGGTCAGCTTGCAGAAAGTCATGATCAGAGAAAACTCCATCCGCCCCTGATTATGACTTGCTATGTTAGCGTTTACAAAGAGAAATTGTTTGGTATTTTTACTTCCTTGTACGAAGTATTGTAATCGCAAAAAGTTTCAGGCAGCATATTTCAACGGAAATATCCATTTTGACCGCTATCGAATGCAATTTAACGATGTTTTCCCGTGACATCTGTACGTAAAGACAGAATAAAAGATTCTTTTCCTCCAAAAAAATAATAAAACTGCTTTAAAATGAATTCTAAATAGAATTTTTCGTGGCGTCTGTACGAACGTATGTACGTACGTACGTATCTCGCATAACTCAAAAGCGAGTAGCCTCAGAACGTTGAAATTTTGTATATAGGACTGCTATAACATGTAGATGTGCACCTCGTATTTTGGTTGCAATCGGTCGCACCAAACGTATATAAATATATTTATATATATATCCACTCTGTTACCCGGCTCAGTGATCTCAGTTTCTTTACCCGTATATGTTTGTAAATTGTGCACTTTTTTGCCTTAAAAATGGTTGAATTATGTTGTTCTTATCTTCAGGTTAAGGTTTTTATGCCTTTAGTAAATCTGCAAGCAATATTTGTACAATTATCAACAATTTAAAAGCTGTTTACGTGCGGTTAAGCCTTAAGTTTTAAATAACATGGTGGACATATTTGTTTACATTTGAAAGAGCAGAATATTAGATTTGTTGCCAATCTAGAGAGACTAAGCTTCTCAACAACAAAGATAACGCCTTCATTTATTATTGCGAATTAAATCATGCTTAATCGTTTCTGGAATTTTTTCGAGGAAATAAGTGTTTAAGATTTACTTCGTAATTTTTAATACAGATATTTTGAGTTTTTATGTATTTTTTCCGTGTCGCGAAGTGTGAACTGAATTAATTGAATGAGAAATACTAAATCGTCTGTAAAAAACTGTTTCTTTTTTGTTTTGTTTACTTAATTTCTTTTATACATCGTTCTAGATATATTAGAGTATTTGAATAGAACATGTGGCAACGATTAGATAATTCTTCAAATGATATAAATTTTGTACATTGTGAGTTATAATATGAACGAAGTATAACGCTGTTAAGTGAACCTAGCTCCAGAGTGTCGCTATGGTAAAAAAATATAGTGAATTTTAAAGAGTGCATTTCTTCTATTGTGGTTTATGCACTATCGACAAAGTAGATTTAATTTAATCCAATAAGTTTAAAAGAAATGCAAGAAAAATGCGTATAATTTAATATTCAATACAAGGAAGTCATGTGGTGTACACATGAGATTTTTTTATTCTAAGTTTCTTGGTGTATATTTCATCTGCCTTCGACATTTACATAATTCGTGTTGTTTTAAGTCCGTTTTACTGTTGTTTTAATTGATCACTTGTGAAATTTTTTGGGGAAATAAAAGGTTTTCAAGAAGATGTTGAAGATAACTTATGTTCTACCAGCGTATTCTACCACTCTTTTAGTTTTAAATCAAAATCACCTCAGTTCGTGTACATAATTTGTTTAAACAGAACTGATTCACTTACATAATATTGTTTATAAAAAAAGCCTGCGCTGCCCATTCTTCTACAACATGCTTATATTTTTAGAAAATATTAGTATTTTGTTTATTCAAATGTAGGAAAAAAATTGCATTTCTTTCAGAAATTGGGGAATGCGTCCAGTTGTCCACTCTTGATGTCCAACATAACGAACTAGTCGATATTCCAGACACTATAGGTGGCTTGCAGTTTTTATCCAGACTAGGGCTCAAGTAAGTTATTCACACAACCTTTGCTCATGCGTACATGTATTGAATCGCAACGTAGTGTTTTTATATATTGCTGTTTTGAAAATCTGATTTTCGCAGTTAAATGATCGAATTGAGTTTCGATCGAATTCAGTGATCATATTACACTTAAATTAAATCATAGGTTTTCTCCAAATACTGATGTACTTTTGCACATGGCAGCTACATTGCCGAATTATCAGTTGATAAAGGTATACGCCAAGAAAATAGCCACGAAATTTTGAATTCAGGAGTATTTTAATTGCCGAAAAAAATGAAAGGACAGAAAAATGTTTGACTTTATTATTTTTTTTTTTTTTTCATTTTTATTTGCAATTTAATTTTATGATCAACATACATAGTGCGTATACAGCTTTTATATTTTTAATTCAATATTTTACTTATATAGCTATGCACTACAAAAATATGGATTTTATTGCTGTATTATTATGAAATCAAAGTAGGATGAATTTTAAAATTATTTAAAATATGTATTTGAGTGTGTACGTCAGAAATGAAAATAAAATACGAAAAGTACTTTTATTATTATTATCTGTTGTTTCCTTTACTATGCCTTTTTAAGTTGTTTTAATAAAGGTTAAATTGATTAAGTTGAAAAGCAGAAATATTGAAATACATTAAATAATATTAATATGTTTGTAATTTAATATGTTTAATGCATTTAATATGCTTGTAAGGTAATGATTATAAAAACGTTAATTAAATGCTATGTATTCATAATTATGCTACATTATTAAAGTTATTATTATTAAAGTTGTAGAGTCATTAGGTTTTATTTTGAATCAAGAGACAGGAAAAATGAGCAATGCCCTCGCCAGGACTCGATTCCGGAAGTCTGGAATACGCGCCGACTGTGCTAACCATTACACCAAGAAGGCATGCAGAAAGAAAAGAAGGGAGAAAATACCTTATAAAGTATATCATTTTTATTTATATTGACATTATTGGGCCTTAACGTAATATATTCATCATGTAATTATTACCTATACATATGAAGGTGCTGTGTTAGGCAGAAGAACAGTATAATTATAGGAGTTGTAACGAGACCCCTCCGCACTACGCCCATAATGTTAAGTAATTAGAAGCACAAGTAATTAGAACTAACTGGGCAGAAATAGATTTAGAAGCACTACAAAAACCATAATTTAATAAATAATCTTACAAACTTTAGAATGCAGAAATGTGCTTCCCTGGTGCCATTTGTTTAATCATTCTGCGCAATAACTCGTTTAATCTTTGATATTTTTTGTAAAGCCATTTAGATATAAAGGTTCTATGATCTTCATAGTAAAAGATAAAGATATAAATTTAAGAATGAACCTCATAGGTGAAATATAAAAATCCGTTCAAATACAATAACTAATAGTATCTTGGAATACGGCAACATCAAGTAAAGCATATCTCGCCCCCATTTAAAAGGAAGAATGATCGAGTCAGTCATGAGCAAATAAAGGAGAAAGTGGCTATCTGTAATATAGCCCTCCCAGATTTTTCGACAAAAAATATCGCCGAGCAGAGGGATAAATGATAGGATGTGGTAACCCATACCATTCGGTCAACGCAATGTAAACAACCGTAAATTTCTGGAATTAAAGTTACAGCTAACATTTACAGCTAATAGTGGTCAATTACATTTATTCACTTTCAATACAAATTCCCTAGATATTCATTTACACAAAGTTTTCCGGCATAGCTTTCTCTTAAATTTTGTCACAATTTTAATATTAATATTAACTATCTAAATACAAAATTCCTAACACTGTTATCGGCGATTATTTAACGCTCGGACATCGTGCAGAATATTGTTATAAAGATAAGATTTTTGGCTACTTTGGAAGTGATATTTTTGCATTTAGTTACGGCTTGCTGTAAACCTGCTGCTAGTGATGTTGTAATTAAGTATCAGGCTTAAAGGAAAACTTTAGGTGGGAATTTTTAAACAAGTGTAAAAGTTTGGAAAAGTCGGGTATTCCAAACACATATTTTATGTATAAATTAACAAGAAAGTATGAACATTTTAGAGGATTTTTGATGGATTGTGGATTATTGAAGGATACAGTTTGTTGTAAAAAATGTAAGATACCATGCGGGTAGTTAGTCATAAAAATCATAAAAATCCTCCGTTGGTAGTCATAAAAATTATCCATTGGTCATTTAGTCATAAAAATCATCCATTGGTAGTATCTGGAGATGTAAAAAGTGAGAAATCAAGAAATCAATTAGGCTAAGATCATGGTTCGCCTGTAATTAAACTTAATTTACAGTTAATTAATTCTTAATTACATAATTATTTGTCAAGGGCGAAATATCTAAAGGTTTTCGGCATTGTTTTAAAAATGACATACTTTTAACCTTAATAATTTTCGTTAATCATTCCTTAACATTTTTTTTTCTTTTAAAATCGTGTATAATAGTTGTAAATTTATTTCTATTATCCATGATTTCTGGTGAAAGAAAGATGGTCGCCATTTTTCAACCACGCAGTTTCATCGGAAATCTTGATGGTAACCTTCTTTCAAAACATGGTTTTTGATGCGCTTTGGCGTCAAAAAATTCTCCAAATTTTGAAGGTGGGCTGTACTGAAGTTGCTCCGAGAAAGTAATCAAATAACATTATTGGTCGATTTAGTTACTGGTTCTGGCGCTTTTCTGCTGCTTTTATTTGATGGGAAACTATGTGTGTTATATACATATATTTAAAACATCGATTATCTGAAAATTAACATCTTCGTCTTATTTTGAGCATTCTATTTCAACAAATTTCATTTTGTTCTCTTCTTCAGATACAATCAACTGACAGCAGTTCCAAAATCCTTAAGTAACTGCATCAACATGACAGAATTCAATGTAGAGAGTAATGCCATTTCACAATTGCCAGTAAGTAATATTGAAGATGCTTAACGTATATTTTTTTTAAATTCACTATTTTAAAAATTACTAGCGGGCTGGGCCAAAGCAAAACTTATATGTTCTATGTGCACCTGAAAAGAAAATCGATAAAAACATCTTTATATGTGGCTAAAAAGTGTGTCGCCGATAGTTTATTGTTGCCACTCGGAAAAATGAGCGCGGAAATTAACGTTTCCGCAGTTTTTAATTAATATCTCGGCCGATCAAAGTCGTACGAAGATGAGAACGGTATCAATGGATTTGGAGAATTTTTTGGAATCCGAGGATACGCGTCTCGAATTTCAGTTCGGCGCCGTTCCGTAGATATTCGAGAAAAAAGAATTTGCCACGTAGCCAAATCTCTCTAATAGGGAAAACCCAAGAAAGAAAGTGGAGAATGTAGGGAAAACGTAGGGGGAAATTAGTTTTTAATTTATATCTCAGCTAATTAAAGTCCCAAGAAGACGCAAATGGTCAAAATGTCGTGCCACGGACCTACGGAATCCAACGCTGTGCTTCGCTAAGCCCGGGAGCCAGCCGTTTCGGATGATATGATGTTACTTCACGCCATATATATATATATATATATATACACTGGTGTGCAAAAATTAGGCACGAAATCGAAAAATTAGCATATCAGGTGAACGAAAAGGCAGAGCGGACAGAAAGACCAATCAGAAGATTAAGTAAGGTGATGTACGGTAGCACATGCGCAGATATGCAGGTAGACGTAATGGGGGAGTGTCTGATTAGTATAAAGCATGTTTTCGGTGTATGATCAGTATTTCTCGCAAAGAGATTGCACGCCGTATACCAGTTAAAATCACACCGAGTTGCTGCCTCAGCGAGAAATGGCGAATAATCAATCTGTTAGAGGACATCTGGATGCTTTTACCCGAGGTCGAATAATTGGGAAGTTGGAGGAAGGCCGCAGTGTGACAAGTGTGGCTGCAGAGTTCGGAATTGCTCACAGCATCGTTTCACGACTTTGGAGACAATTTCAAACTACAGGAACAGCTATCCGGGGGTTTAGTAGTGGTCGTCCACGAGGAACCACACCCGCAGATGACCGGTATATTGCCTTACAGGCCAGAAGAAACAGGCGGCAGACAGCGCGAGAAATCGCTAAACACACGACACAGGCGACTGGACGACCGATATCGCGTTTTACCTTGGCCAGAAGACTGCACGGTGGTGGTCTGTTTGCACGACGCCCTGTACGGTGTGTAACTCTAACGCCTGCCCATCGGAGAAGGCGTTCTCTGTGGTGCCGGGAACACCGGAATTGGAGAGACAATGAATGGGGACGAGTACTCTTTACAGATGAGAGCAGATTCAGTCTGAGTAGCGATTCTCATCGCATACTCATCTGGAGTGAGCGCGGAAGCCGCAATCATCCCTCGAACACCATTGAAAGGGACAGGTATGGAGGTGGCGGCGTTCTCGTTTGGGGAGGCATCATGCTTGGTAGTCGTACAGACCTTCACATCTTCGACGCAGGTTCAGTCAACGGGACCCGTTATTGCAACGAGATTCTTCTTCCATATGTGCGTCTTTTAGAGGCGCTATGGGTTCGCAGTTCCTTTTCATGGACGACAATGCACCATTTCATCGCACAGTAGCTGCCGAACAGTTCTTAGAGAGTGAGGATATTGAACGTATGGATTGGCCGGCACGATCTCCGGATCTCAATCTCATCGAGCATGTATGGGATTTTCTAGGCAGACGCTTGGCAGCTCGTACCTTACCACCAGTAACGATTCCGAAGCTTCGATTGGCGCTCCAAGACGAATGGGCAGCAATGCCTCAACAACTCATTGACACCCTCATTCTCAGCATGGGCAGACGCTGTAAAACCTGCCTAGCAGTCAGGGGAGATCATATTCCTATTAAAGACCGGATGTTTCTTGCTGGACACCCATCACAGGGATGTTTCGGCCTTCAGTCGCATTGCGCTCCATGCTACTTTTTCAATAGAGCTTCTTTTTATCCCTCTGATTTCTCTTTTAGTAAGTGTTGCTTACATTACTCATGTCCTTACGTATTGGGGATCTTACGGTATTAAATGTGTTGATTTGGAAAGCTTTTGTACAAAGTTATATTGAAAAAAACGTCTCGTCCTTAATTTTTGCACACTAGTGTATATATATATATATATGCGGCTTAAGTGTCTGTTTGTCGCCGATAGTTTTGTGGTTGCTTGCGTGACTGTACTAGCCAATGGGCTGAAGTTGCCACGGCACAGGGTTGCCATTTCAATTGAGAGGTAGACAATTTCCTCTAAAACACGCCTTTGCTATGACCATCCATAAGTCTCAGGGCCAAACGCTTAAGCATGTTGACATATTTTTACCTGAACCAGCATTTGAACACGGTCAACTTTATGTTGCCTGTTTAAGAGTTCGTGAAAGAACGGACGTAAAATTAAAAATAATGGATGGTCCTCTGCAAGGCGAGCTGAAAAATGATGGAAAGATCTACACAAGAAATGTTGTGTACAAAGAGATCTTTGACATATGAATTAACATTTCATTATTTAAATCACCTTTATTGATTGAGCTAGCGGTGGCTCTTAAGAAATGTACCGCCAGTGGTTTCCTTCATTTCACTCTACTTTAAGCAATTAAGCAAGTAGAAGGGGGTACCCCGTTTGGCAGTAAGTAAAGGGGCGTTCTCGCCTCCTGTCCTGGGTAATTCAGTTTAAATTAGCGGACACCTTTGCACAAATCATTTTAATTACAATTTATAATATCTAGAACAGCGGCCATTTCGCATGACCGCCGGGCGTTCTAGTTTCAATATAAATAAAAAGAATTCTTTCCAAGCAAGATACAATTCGTAAATAATTTTTTTGTTGCCATACCAGGAAACAAAAACTTAAAACATTTCAGGTTAATACATATGACTGATGATTTAAATTTAATGTAATATAACAACTTTTTTTAATATTAATAAAATTATATCAATAAAATTGTCAATAGCAGCTATTTATTCAAATTGCTGACATTAACGAAAAATTTCCCTCTTACAATGACGTCGCGTGCAATCGCATGCTTTCTTCAACGTCAGAAAATGACATCCACAATTCACTTGGCATTCTAATCGTGCCTATTTTCAGAACATTTACAATTGTTTATTACTATTGCGATAGGAACAGAGCACAGCAAAATGACGTCCATGCAGCAACAGAGATACAAGCGAAGTACGCGTTTATCTAATATGGAGCTAACCAAAGAAGGACAGTTTTGGTTAACGTTAGAAAGGTTTCAGTTTTCAGAGTTTAGGATTTATCTAGAAATGACGCAGTCCAGAAAAAGTTATTGCAGTTTTTAGAACACAGAGAGAAAATACTAAAATTAAAAATGAGGAATTAAAAGCCTATTGTTAAATTTAATTATAAAGCTGATTTACATATTTTTATTACACACACACACATATATATTAACATATATAAGAAATTGCAGTAAACTATTGCTATTGGTTTTACCCATTTTTGTGCCTAAACATTATTAATGATTAAAATAATTTATTAATAATATTATGTAATAATATTGATTCTATATTTCGTATACTTTGATAGGAAGGCCTTTTGTCCAGCTTGGTCAACTTAACAAGTCTGACCCTTTCTAGAAATGCCTTCACATCCTATCCAGTAGGCGGACCATCCCAGTTCTGTAATATATATGTAAGTACTTGATACCACTTTGGACCAACTTATCATGACTATTGCTATTGAAGATCTCTGATTCAACTAATGAATTAAATATTATCAAATAGGTGTTTTCTTGCTCAAGCCAGTTTCGAAACGCGCGTAAAACATCTTTAAGGTTTAGCACTAAAATTCGCACATCGAAGAGTCTTTCTCATTCGCAGAAATCGAAAATTTGTTCATTTAAAATTTTCCCTTGGCGTTAACTTTCCTTTGCTTTGTCCACTGTTACAGTTTCATGTTGCTGGCCACGAGAGGGCGCAGATTTTTTATTTTATATTTATTATTTTTTCTTACCGCTTTGAGGATTATTTAATTGAGATATAGAGGCAATGACAAAAAAATAAGATGAATGTCCTTCTGTAAGAAAACGAATTGTAAATAGCCGTAAATAAAATTTTCCGTGTGATAAAATGGCAAAGAATTTCAAGTATGCTGTGGATTTCTTCAAGGAAAGCTAAGCTGAAAGATTTTCTCACCAAATATTGTTAAACGGTGAAAACGTAAGAAAATACAACCCTAGAAACAGCAAACAATAATCAAAATCACCTAATCTATTTTTAGTAATATTTCGGAGGAAGGCGGGGATTTGCCAGAAGCAAAGCACTTAAACACAACTGTACAATATGGTAATTAAATAACTACTATTAGTATATAATAATTAAATAGCTATTTCATTATACATTTTTAATTGAAATTTACCCCTGTAAATCATTGTCATTTTATGTGTTGCACTTTGAGAATTAGCATCCAGCGCACAGTTTGAAATTGCTTAAACTTACTATAGTATTACTATAATAGTATTTTTGTACATAGAACAGTATAAAATCCAAAATCCGAACGTCCATTATCCGGAAGGATCAATATCCGGATCTCCAGACCACCAGTTTCTTTCTCAAAGAATAATAATAATAATTAAAATTCCCTCTGCAAAGATTAGGAATGAAAAATATAATACTCATCAAAAAGAAGAAGGTGTACCGTATACCCGATTTTTCTCGAGACTAACTGAGGTTCCAGCATACCATCTTCAAACACCTGCTGGCTTTGGCATTCCACCACTCCTAATGATAATCCATTGATTGATGTTGGCCAGGATCATACTTTCAGCTCCTGAGTGGTTGTGGAAGTTTAGTATTTTTGAAGTGAAGCCCCAATGTTGCCATGTCTACACGTCATTACATTTAAAATTATGATTTAAGTCCAGAAATTTCCAAAATCGCCACCGAAGGCCCGACAAATCTGGATCTCGGACTACTAAATTAAATTACTGAAATGGTTCAAAAGGTGTACCTTAACACGATTACTATTTAAAATATTAATTATATTGCTAAAAATTGAAAAACTATTCATTTTAACGTAAGCCGCATAGAAAAACCAAATAGCCACAGTTTAGCCAAACTACCATAGTTCATCCTAGATACACTCGTGTGGAAAACTAAGAGAATTAGCACATGTCAAATTTCTGAAAAACAAGTGAGCAGATTTTAATGAAATTTAGCATGAATGTACATTTTTAACAGAGCGAAAGAGATGTGTCATATCATCATGTATCAAGTCATTTTACGTACTCATGAGTCTCAATAAAGTTTATAGCGCAATGAAGTCCAAAATCCAGGTCGTAATATCCGACTGAAAATGAGTCTAATATGGGGTATGGTCTCCTCTTGACAAACAGACAAGTCATGCAGTGTGAGGAATTGTGGAGAGGAGGTAGCTGAGAAGTCCCTGTGTCAGTCGATCCCAAATCTGCAGCAAGGTGGTTTTCAGCTGCGAGATGGTTTTCGGAGTAGGATGACGAGATGAAATTGTTCTCCCAAGAGTGTCCGAAATATGCTGTGTAGAGTTAAAATCAGGAGATCTGGCTGACCAATCCATGTGGTGAATATCCTCATTTTCCATGTAATCGTCGACCAGCTGAGCCTTATGAGGACGAACGTTGTTATCTTTAACAGGAACCCAGGACCAACTGCTCTTCTGAAAATTCGAACATTAGGCTCTAAGATCTCACCTCTCTACCTCATAGAAGCCTTTACCAAACACATGCAGGAGTGTGCGGTCTTCCAATATAATGTTTGTGTGTGTATTTAATTATGGCAAAGCACACTAGGGCTATCTACCTAAGGGAAGGGATGCCTTCGTGGAAGACTTTCTAAGGGAAACTGGCTCGTATACACGTTACACATGGGGAAAACCACGAAACACCCCGCCAGCCCGTTCGCGGGATTCGAACCTTGGACCGAACTACCAGTGTTCAACGACTTTACCGCTCGGCCGCTGGTGGGCCCGTCCAATATAATGCCTGCCCAAACCATTACACCTCCACTACCATAAAGATTTTTTTTTCCTTTGATGGGGGACGGATGGTATCGTGCACCACACTCTCTCCAGATACAGTTACGCCGAGAATCAGTGTCCAGGCTGAAATTTGACTCGTCTGTAAAAGGCACAGTGCTCCAGTGAAGTCTGGCTGGAAGCGCATGTGGTCTGCGCCATGCTAAGCGCGCCTTCTTGTGTGCTGCAGTGAGCGGGACGCAAACAGCGGGTCTTCTGTCATACAGCTCTATTTCATGAAGCCTTTTGGCAACTGTAGACAGTGGCAGTCGGGTTCCAGTGAAAGCTGCAGCTCACGGGAGAGCTGTGAAGCTGTAACAGTCCTGTGTCGACCCTCTGAAAGTGCCAAATAACGATCCTCATTTATCGTTGTCGATCTTGGTCAAACTTGCCCAAGTCTACTTGATAAAGATCCAGTGTCCTGAAACTGTTTCCAAAAACTACAGACGATACTGGACGTTATACATTGAGCTCTGTAGCCACCTACGCTTATGACTTTCCTGTTTCCTGTGTTTAATCTACCAACAATTCTCCATCTTATTCTGTCATCCATACATTCGTGACGATTCATTTTACCTGACTCATCCAGCTCTTTCGAGATACACGGCGAATGCCATGAAAGATTACGAAAACCCCCTTTGCTCTTATATCCACTCCACAATCACAGCTCCGCACACATGCCCGTGTACGCTTACGTATACGACTCTGAATATTTGGATAATTCTTCGGCACCATAATTAGTATCTTTCGTTGAATAATTTAAGAAAAAATAGACATAATTTGCAAATTCTCTTAATTTTTCACACAAGTGTGCATTGTCTCATAGTTTATTATACACTGGTGTGCAAAACTTAAGGACGAGACGGTTTTTCAATAACTTTGTACAAAAGCTTCCAATCAACACATTAATACCGTAAGATCCCCAATACGCAAGGACATGAGTATGTAAGCAACACTTACTGAAATCAAGGGATAAAAAGAAGCTTTATTGAAAAGTAGCATGGAGCGCAATGCGACTGAAGGCCCGAAACATCCCTGTGATGGGTGTCCGCAAGAAACATCCGGTCTTTAATAGGGGATATAATCTCCCTGACTGCTAGGGCAGGTTCACAGCGTCTGCCCATGCTGAGAATGAGGGTGTCATGAGTTGTTGAGGCATTGCTGCCCATTCGTCTTGCAGCGCCATCGAAGTCCGAATCGTTACTGGTGGTAAGGTACTAGCTGCCAAGCGTCTGCCTAGAAAATCCCATACATGCTCGATGGATTGAGATCAGGAGATCGTTCCGGCAGTCCATATGTTCAATATCCTCACTCTCTAAGAGCTGTTCGCAGCTACTGTGCGATGAAATGGTGCATTGTCGTCCATGAAAAGGAACTGCGAACCCATAGCGCCTCTAAAAACGCACATATGGAAGAAGAATCTCGTTACAATAACGGGTCCCCGTTGACTGAACCTGCGTCGAAGATGTGAAGGTCTGTACGACTACCAAGCATGATGCCTCCCCAAACGAGAACACCGCCACCTCCATACCTGTCCCTTTCAATGATGTTCGAGGGATGATTGCGGCTTCCCCGCTCTCTCCAAATGAGTATGCGATGAGAATCGCTACTCAGACTGAATCTGCTCTCATCTGTAAAGAGCACTCGTCCCCATTCATTGTCTCTCCAATTCCCGTGCTCCCGGCACCACAGAGAACGCCTTCTCCGATGGGCAGGCGTTAGAGGTACACACCATACAGGGCGTCGTGCAAACAGACCCACCACCGTGCAGTCTTCTGGCCACGGTAAAACGAGATATCGGTCGTCCAGTCGCCTGTGTCGTGTGTCCTAGCGATTTCTCCTGCTGTGTCCTGCCCTGTTTCTTCTTCTGGCCTGTAAGGCAATATACCGGTCATCTGCGGGTGTGGTTCCTCGTGGACGACCACTACTAAACCCCCGGATAGCTGTTCCTGTAGTTTGAAATTGTCTCCAAAGTCGTGAAACGATGCTGTGAACAATTCCGAACTCTGCAGCCACACTTGTCACACTGCGGTCTTCCTCCAACTTCCCAATGATTCGACCTCGGGTAAAAGCATCCAGATGTCGTCTAACAGATTGATTATTCGCCATTTCTCGCTGAGGCAGCAACTCGGTGTGATTTTAACCCTTTGACGATTATGGAAATGAGCAGTTTCCGTTTACTTAATTCGCGCAGCATTAGGAGTAAAGAGTAGTCGAAAGTAGCAGCTGTTTTCCCCCGCCGTTCTTCCAAAAATGTCACCCTTCTCTGGTGATGCCGTAGATAGCTCACCTCTTGCGCGTTTTAAAAATTTCTTAAAGTATTTGTAGTACATAAATAACAGTTTTTACGTACTTTAAAATAATTATTAAACAGTAAATTATAAATGATTATAACCAATTATATTAATAATAATAGTTAATTATAAATAATAGACAAATATTAAATTGAAAGGACTAAATAAATACAACTATGTAAAAACTTTATTAAGCACAGTATAAATACAGTAATTACCTAAAAATCTTTTTGTGTGTGATACTTTAAAACATGGAATTGCCACATAATGGGGCATTACAGTCTTTGCAATACGTACGTGTTTCACGGCGAAATTCTTTTCCATTAGCATCATTTTTGCTGCCAACATACCACACACATCGTCTAGTAGGTTCTTCTAATAGAGAATTTCAGAAATATTTGTCACGCAGCTTTCATGCCTACATGACCAGTAAAACACAAATCGGCTAGAGCGTGAGAACTTGAATCAATTTACACCACGTCGAACACTCGAAAAATCTTCCTCATCGCTTGAATCGTCTTCTGAGCTTGAAATACTGTGAACAAAGTCTTCATCAGATTCAAAACTTAATAAGCTTTCTGTATCACAATCATAATCATCATCATACCTATCTAACTTTCGCTTTTGAGCCATTTTACTGTACAAACACCCTAAAAACCGCGCCAAAATACGTATAAAATGAACAAGGTCAAAAAAAAAAATCCACCTTCATTATGCAAAGAAATTCATGGAACTCGTACTGTCATCTGTAGACAGTAAAACTAACTAAATTTCGTAAGTAGCATTCGTTTGAAACACAATCAGTGCAGAATAATAATGGCGAACGAAGTCAGCTCGTCACCGCGCATTGGGGAAAAATTTCACTAGGCGAGTAGTGCTCGTTACTAACCATTTCGGTCAAAATCTTCCTCCCAAGCGGAACTCGTTTGCGCGCATTATGTAGCACGATTCGATTGCGAGCTGAACTCGTTCATAACCATCAAAGGGTTAACTGCTATACGGCGTGCAATCTCTTTGCCAGAAATACTGATCTTACACCGACAACATGCTTTATACTACTCAGACACTCCCCCATTACGTCTACCTGCATATCTGCGCATGTGCTACCGTACATCACCTTACTTAATCTCCTGATTGGTCTTTCTGTCCGCTCTGCCTCTTCGTTCAGCTGATATGCTAATTTTTCGACTTCGTCCTTAATTTTTGCACACCAGTGTATTTTTTGGGAGGGGGGGGGATCCAGGAGAAAGGAAAAAATATTATTATAAATTGTTTTTGTAAATTGTACTTTGTTAAATATTTCTTAATGCGTGTTTGTTCATAGTATTTAGCATATTTTTTACTTCATATATAATCGTCTCTTCGGGCACATCATTAGTTTCCCTTTTAAATGAATGCCTTCCCATTTTCATATAATATACTGTGTAGACGGTCTGTATAATATGAATATATAAATTTTAGTTCCATATATGCGAGATTTTAATCTATTAATATTACTTATTTGGATACTTCGTACTAAATATATATGTACATTTTATTTTTCTAGTCCATCAACATGGAACATAACATGATCAATAAAATTCCGTTTGGAATATTTTCAAGGGCCAAAAATCTTACGAAGCTGAACATGAAAGAAAATCAACTTACTTCCTTACCACTAGGTAAGTCCTTTAACGCGACTGCAGATTTTGTTTTTCACAGATTCCACTTTATCAAACAAAGAAAGCAACAACTAAATTGTCACCCATTGTTTTGTTATTAATTTTTCTTAGTTTTTGAGAGAGAGTAATAATGAAAATACAATTGGGAAAAACCTTGGCGCTTTCGAGCATAGTCGTTGCCTTATCAATCCTGCAAGGATCAATCTTGCCTTATCAATCCACTTAACAGCGTTACATCTCATTCATTTTATAACTCAGAATGCACAAAAATTATATCATATCATATCAAGAATTACCGCATTTTCTATTCAAATATTTTA